GATCTCGCAATATTGTGATTGCAGCGTTCCTGATCTCATCGGGCTGAAGCCAGAACAACCGTTGAACACAAGACTGGGACTCTTCCGAAAGAGAGTATTCACTGGCATGGACCGCTCAAACTGAAGGCCTCAGCGACTTCTTGTGGGCTCTTGTACTTGTGTACTGAAAGGACTCCCCATGGTGCAGTGAGGACGCTCTTAGGTAGAGTGCCTACAGGTTGCTGCCACATACCTTCAACGTGAACTCGTTCGACGTTGGCAGCATCAGCGCATCTGCCTAGCATGACGTCAAAGTTAGTGTTGCTCATCTTACAACTGCCACTGTTAGCAGCATTGACAAGGGCGTGCGCGGCTGACATTGTTAGTATCACCCCGGCTCCACCAGTAGGGTAGGTCGTGCCCCAAGCCTTGTACATGTAACCGTGCATGCTGAGCCGGGGTGGCTGTAAGTCGGCCAGCAGGCTGGGTAGCAAGTTGAGGTTCCATGCTGTGTCAGAATCGAAACCAACAATGTACTTGATTTCATCCTCGTTGAATTTGCGGACAATCCACTCGAGAATTACGAAAGGTCGTTGTTCGTACGGCCGTTTATGCTTCCAACCCATGAAGTGTTCATCCACCACTTCAATGACGTTAGCTTGCGGGCACGCACTTCGTATATCACTCACGTTCTTGCTCGAGAAAACGTAGGTTCGATTCGTCAAAGGGGCTGCCCAGGCATCCATGGCAATACGGCATTCTTGAGGACTGTCAGTCATTAAAGTGAAAACTGTGCTCCTCAATAGCTCCTCCGCAGTCTCTGTATTGAGACACCGGCCTGGGAGTGATTCTGTTGCGCACCCTGGGCAGCCGAGGAGCCCGTCGCTATCAGTGATGTTGATCGAAAAGTGTTTCTGAAGACAGGCAGCAAGGAAGTGCTCATGATAGAAGCCGTGCTCTCGTCGGCAGCTTGACCCTTCCTTCGAGATCTTCCCTTTCTTGGTGTCGATGCTCCGAGCAAAGTCCCCAGAGAGGACAACCCCAGCCCCAAAGGAGGGTACGATAGACTTGTGCTTGAACCATTTACCCTCTCCGTTCTCGCCTACGCCATACACCTCGCCTACATGGAGGGTTCTGCAAAGGCGTAGGAACAGTGACGGGCGAATCTTCGACGTTGAGCTGATAAGAACTACCCAGGTATACTTCCTTGGAATCTGCTCAAGATATTTGAGGACCGTCAGCGGCCCAGGTGCCTTGAACGGGGCTTTAACTACGTCGAACTTCTTCGAACATGAATCATCTCGGGCGATCAGCTCAGATCGGGGCGCCCCAGATACCACTAAAACGAGCACAGGGCCACCCTTGCATTCGGCTTCTTCCTTTCCGTGTACAAGTGCAGCATAACGAGCAGACAGCGGTGCAGTTGCCGCATTGAGCTTGTCCGCGTCGGCGACTCGTTCTAGCTGGGCTAGCCCAGTGAAGTCCGCTTCCCAGAATCGAATTATTAAGACTAGGATGATCACTAGCAGGACTATCTGCAAGATTTGTCGGGGGTAAGAAGCCATTGAATATTCGAATGGTAACCACTGGAAAGTGATCACTTCCAGACACTCACGAACTACTGCTTAAGGGCCCGGGTTTTGTTCTGGTCAGACTCAGCTGACGATTCACCGTAGAGTCTGGTCACAACACAAGAAATGAAGTGTAGGGGACAGCAGGAAGATTCAGTGCGACCGCCACATGTTAGCAAACACGCTTGGGCGTGTGAGAAGAGCGATTACTGAACGACGTCGGATCTAGGACCCTGAAGAAGGGGACCGTACACAACCTCCGTTCGCGAGCGCCGGGGGGATCACACCTTGATCTTCCTGCAATGCCGCGCTTCTTTGAGTGATTGTGTAGTGCGTCTGGGGACGGCTTGATCGAACTGTTGGCTATCCGTGTGAACAGTATCCATCAAATACCCTACCCCACCGACCACTGGATGGTCTGGTGCAGTC